GCGGAATAATTAGGTCTATTCTGTAAAAGAGAATGTATCCTTGAACAAGGTTGTCATTTTGCCTAAAGCTAAGATTCATTTTATGATGATTGTCTTTAAAGTATGCAGATGATGATGATGATGATGATGATGTAAAAGACTCAAGAGGCTTTTTATCTTCTGGTGAGAAAAAAAGAAACATTAATCATCTGACTGTTCATAAAGAAAAGAAAAACAGAAGTTTGTTATGACTGGAATGAAACGCTAATGATCCTAATCAACTAAATGACGAGAGAAAGAGAAGAAAATTTATTCTGTTCACATTCGTTTTTCTTTAAAATAAATAAGGAAAAAACTGCGAAGCGAATCTGTTTTATTGAAGAGAATTATTTGATATGGTTGAATATTCTCTTTCATCTATACAGAAGGGAGAAAGAAAAAAAGAAATGTGTTGACTTTTGCCCGTTCGTCACTGTGTGTTATGCACGTTTTCTTTCTCTCTCTCTCTCTTTCGCTTTCGGACAAAGAAAGAAATTGTCATATACCTCTTTACAATATTTTGTTACATGTTTATGTACATCAATCGATGAATAGAAACGTATCAAACAATGAATAAAGAGAAAAACTCGATCGTAATCGAAATAAATTTCAAGAAATTATCGTCAATGCTTTTTGTCAAATGAGATGCGAAAGCGAATAAATTCGCAATCGAAATAGAAAACTGAATAGATTTTGTTAATTAGATGATTGCAACTTAAGATTCTTTCCAATGATTTTCTATTCAAGATGACGCTGCGCTTCTCGTGTGTGAATGGTCACAGCTCGTTCGCTTTGTTCTAGTTGAATCAGTCAGAGAGAAGTTACTGATATATATATATATATAGTTTCTTCAATTTGAATAGTTCTATCAATTCGTTGTTCTCAAACGATATATCAGTTGAAAAGACGTCTTTTTTTCGATAGCATTTTGCGGTACTATCATGCAAAAGAGAAATCTTGCAGAATAAGGTAGACGCTCGACTGTATTTTATCCATTTCAGCACACCATATTGGAGAATTACGTCACCTTTGATAAAAAGGATAAAAAATAAATTATATAGAAAAGGACACGACGTGAACAGCGGATATATAGTACTAACACGACTAGGACAGTTTATGCTGATAGTCTTTCAATCTGAGCGAAGATTTTAAGCGTAGAAGGAAATCGTGGATATTGGAAAACGCCCTTCTCCCGTCAGAAGATCTGTCTTTTGATACCTCTATACGAAAAAAAACTAGACGTCTCTTTTTTGTTCGTAAACACTCGATACCTATTCAGTAGTTCATTGCAAATCAGTACTATATTCATGTACATTTCACTTGTTCGTTCCTTCAGTCAACGCAACAATGGTTTCAGAAAATCTCTAACTGATTTGTAATAATTAGGTTAGTTCATACAAATACTAATAATGAATACTCGTGTTATAGACAATATCGGCAAACATATTCTGTTGAAGGACTTGGTGATGTTGCGTTCACAGGCAAAAAGCTTGTCATCAATAGTATGATGATCTATAAAACGATAGGCAGCTGATATCATATGTGACTCTTGTGAATTGCTGCGTATGGTTCTCATATATCTATACGAATTCAATCATTTATAGCTCTATATATGTTTTCTGTTTTTCTATAGTAAACGTTGCTTAGATACATAGAATATGCTTACAGATTATTTATGTAAAGGGAATCAACTTTGCAAAGTATTGATCATCGATGTTCACAGAAACTGGCGATTTCTAGTGCTTTTTATAGAATAAGTGCATTTTTCACAACAATCAACTACCTTTGTTTCTTGCTGTAGTGATTTTATTGTAATTTTCGATACATTTGTATCATAATGAAAAGAATCGTTAATTCACTTATGCACTCAAATACAAACGAGTAACAAAAAGACAGCTTAATTCAATATCTAACACTTGAGTCTAGTATTAGATTCTTCTCAACGATCAATGTGAAAAAAAAACAGGTTAATGAAGTTGCAATTCTCTTCAACGCGTTTGATATCTAGATCTTGATCAACAATACTCAGTATCTTCTTGTATGATCAAGCAGATAGAAACGATTTTAATTATGAAATTTATAGGAGAATTTCGAATTCTATGTGAAAATTCGCACCAGTTTTGACTAAATTGATCAGTTGGTCAATGCAATTTTATACGGTCAAATATTCTCTTTGATATATTGAGAGAGAACAAAACGATACGCTTGATTTGACTTGTCTAATTGTCGCGCTGTCTACGTACATTTTTCTCTTTTCGATTTTGCTTTAATAAATAACAATCTGTAAAGAACTCGTTACAATTTGTTTCTTTTGATTTTTTGGTTCATTAAAAGAAATAAAAATTGAAAAAAATTTCACCGTTTTTTTTTCATTATTATGAAGAACGTGTAAATGAATGTTGAGCAAGCCAATTTGTTGATGATCGCTGATATGGGTCCATTTGAAGTGTATGTCGAAGGACATCACCAATATTTTCATCTTTAACTGATGGAAGACCATGAGGTGGACGATAAGATCGATTATGATGATCGTATTTAGGAGAAGATCCGTAATTGATCCAGTACAGAATAGCTCCGACAGACCAAATATCAGCTTTACTTGTGTAACGAGGCCAAGCATCGTGTGGAACGAGACGAACTTCAGGTGCAGTGTAACCGAATGTGCCGTTTGGACCTTGCCTAGAAATGAGGGATGAGACTTGGCTGCTTTAGCGAGAGTACGGAGGAAATCTTACCCTCGAGTATTGGCTTTCTGTGCAATACCTAAATCCACTAGTTTCAATCGATTACCGAAAAATACAAGATTTGACGGTTTCAAGTCCAAATGAACCTAAGTAGAAAAAAAAAAGAAGATACTGACTGAAAACGATTCGATAAAATTACGCACAATTGAATGTTTATGTAGTGTAATGAGAATATTTAGAATTTGTCTCCATAGAACTTTTTGTTGACTGACTGGTAAAGTTGGTTGATTAATAAGAGTCTTTTCTAAATCTTGATCACCACGTTCCATAACAATAAAAGCTAAACCGGACGGATGAAAATCAAAATCAAACATTTTCACAACATGTTTCGATTCCGATGACAATCGCGTTGATTGTCGAACTTCATTCAAAAACGATTCAACTAAGTATGATGATGACGATGAGCTTTCTGCTAAACTAACGACTTTTACCGCAACATTGACGCCTATAAAAAAAAAAGAAAATGTAAATTCAATTAAGTATTCGAATAGAACAAACCATCTTTTTGTCGTTGTGCTGGATAAACTCTTCCAAATGCTCCACTTCCTAATTGATGTTTGCCAAATACGTAGTGATTTTTATTTATCGGAATTAGTTTCTTGTGTAAATCTACACTCGTGATTCTCCAAGCTTGATTATGATTTGACATTCGGTTTCACTCTCCAAACAACTCCGTTTTATGATACAGATGCAAAACAAACACGTTTGGTTTTTGTTTTTCTTTATATTGCTTATTTATCGGTGGCGAATGAAGAAACATGATTTCATAAAAATATCACTAGGTGATCAGAAAAAAAGGTATGTATATGTCAGGTCTCTATCAGTAAAGTATTTAATCATGTATATACATATGAAACATGTAAGTATGATGACTCATCGATGTGTCGCCATCTGTTCGCAAGTACTGTACATTGAACGTAAAAATGATAGTTTGGTCGATGAAAAAGAAAGATAGGAAGAGAAAAGCGTTAATGTCCATTTAACGCATGAATGATGTTGACCTATTTCGTTTTTTTTTGTCATCTTTTCATTTGAACGAGTATAACGATAGACTAAAGAATGAATTTCGTCCGCGTGTCTGGTAAAATTGGTCTGACAAG